TTTCCCCTTTGTTTTTTCCTCTTTGTATTACTCAGCATATGGTTATTGCTGGCTGGAGTCTAGTATAAATATATGGAGAGACATGCAACAGAAGGAACTAAAGCACTGTGGCACAAAGATCAACACAGTTATAAATAAGTTTCATGGAGGGAAAATTAGTCTAAGTTGATACTTAGACTGCCGCACAGTCTGCAATCTGTACTGATCAAATGAGTAAAACAGCAGCTGCTGAACAACTACTGGCCTTTGTTGCTATATGTATTTTAAGTCTGAGAAAAGCTTAAAAAAAAGCTTAAAAGCTTAAAAAGAGAGCAGGTAACACAGAATGAGCCAAAACAAAGGAACACAAAACACAGATGATCAATATCCTCATGAGTCACAGATAAACTGTGTAATCCCACTGCCTATGTATAAGACATAGCAAAGGACTGCTTCTTTTCCATATAAGTGTTGGGTTTTGAAGAGGAGATTCAAAAAGTGGGGAGGGGAAGCATGCAACATACTTGACAGGTACATGTAAATATGCTACCTTTTTTCCTGTATATTTATACAAAATAAGCATAGTTACCTCTCGATACAAAACACTTTCAATAGACTTAAGCTTTGCAGTTGCTGCAGGTCTCATTGCTTCCATGGCTACTCCAGTGAGCTTTGCTGTTCTCTTTTTTTCTAAAGCAACATACAATTCATATAAAAGCTTTGTTACAGCCCCATGCTGTCCTGTCATGATGTCTTGGGCCACATTCTCATTAAACTGTACACCAAGGAGGTGAAGCGTGGGCTCCAGGCGAGAAAAATTGTTAAGTTTTGCATTTGCAACACTATGATTAAAAACAACAACAATAAAACATAACATCAGAACATAAACTTATTTTCCATTCCAACTTGCTGCAATAAGCATGGTCGTGACATTTACCTCATACCAAGATAGCAGGGGAAAAAAAAAAATCCACTTACTTAAAGTAATGTGATACACACTTCAGCTTAGGTATTATACTGCAGTACCTGTAACTGCATTGGTTTACTACGCATAACTTTTGGAAAAAATAGAGAACATACTTGGTTATATAAATCTTGATACACGCACACACAAAGTGCATCTGACCGCAAAAGCTTACCTCCAATTGCAGCTAATTGTATATAATCCACAAAGGTATGAAGAGTTAGAATGAAGTTTCCCTATTAACTGTATCAATCCATTTGAGCTCTAACCAGCCAAAACATAGGAAATTACAAAAAAAAGGCTGTATAACCTATTAACCCTCAGAACACTTTATCATATTTCTTCTCCAATAAAAAGAAATAGACACATGGGTTGGAGTAGTGTTGAAAACAAAGACTATGGCCTCAATGAGCAATTTGCATTCAAAATTGAAATAGTGGATTGCAGATTAATGTTTCTCTTGATACAGAGATTCTCATGTGGAACCATTCAAGATCAATAGACATACAGGCCAAAACCCAGTAACAACAAATTATCACTTTATCACAATTAACACATCAAATTTCATCCAACAAATCCATAACTTCAACCTGAGTCAGAATATCATGCTTTCTATACTGCTCTATCACTTGAGTTCCCAATAGTTCCTTCACATGAACCAACAAGCTTTTGCGGGCAGCCAAGCTACAGCATAATTCTACAAAAATGTCCAATTTTAAATTAAGACCTTCTGATAACACAGTATTCACCTTATTCCTAGATGAAACAGTCCAGGAGCTCATCATTCTCGCTATAATAGCCCATGCCTTATTTCTTACACAATTATATATAACTGCAGCTTACAACTATTGAACATTTTTCTGCCATTGAGTCAAGGCGAGCCCTATTCTCAGAAATCACCTCACATGCATTGAAACGCTGTGGTGATATCACCCCTTAACTTTTTGTTCTCTAATCAGTTCATATGGAATTTCTTAACCTTGCCTTATAACACAAAAATGCTGTAAATCTTATTTCAAGATCATTGTAAGAGTTCAGGGAAAACTACAATATTTTATTCTTCAAATATGGATGCCAAACTGGAAAAAGTTTTCCAGTGGTATTCCTTTTAAAGAAGTAGTATCACTTTCTTGCTTATTATTCCCTTGCTTATATGTCCAAGAACTGTGCAACATAAGCATCTAATACACTTAAGGAAACATTGACTAGTTAGTCGCAATGATCCCAAATTCTTTTCTGTTAGTGCCTTCCAGATTAAAGTTGCCTATTCTAAAAAAAGGAATAATCTAAATTTCTCTGACCACCACCCTAACAGGTATGATCTTGCCTTGGGCCATGCTAAAACACATAAAAGTGATGCCAGCTTACTACATGATGCATGAATAATATGCTTTTCCTTAATAGCACAATTCAAATTTTAAAAGTATTACTTTATAGATATTAAATAAGATTAGGCAGGTACAGGCTCTTGAGAACGCCAGGAGCTTACAATGACTGTTACACAGTAATAGTTGATTTAATGTGCAGAAGAAATATCTTAAAATTGAGAAAGCATTGCCTCAATTCTCAATAGCTGTCAAAAGATCAATGTCAGTAATTATTAGAAAAGAAAATAATGAAGAAAGGTGAAAACATCAAATTATCTTTACAAAGTCATGCAATACAATGGTGAAGAACACAATCCGCCCCCCTCTCATATGCCAGATACTCCCAGAACTTAGAATCATAGAATCATAGAACCGTTTAGGTTGGAAA